CAACCAAGAAAACCTCTCGCTTATGGGCCTTTGGTTTCCTACTATTTATATAGGTCTCCAGTAATTTAACCATAATGGATCCTACCATATTGGGTATTGGATCTTCATTCAATTACCCAAGCCTCTTAGATTAGTGTGTCTCTACCCAATAATCTCTTATTAGCTTTTATTGGATCTCATCCATGGGATCCAATAATTTAGGAGATTATTGGATTTCCAATAAAATAGGGCTCCAACGGATATCTCATATCTGAACCTCTATTCGTTGCAACACCTAACATATGTGTATGACCCTCTAGGCCCAATACTGAGTTGGTCGTGAGTTATATCTATCAGAACTCTTTCTAACTCAGTGAATTATTATCTCTATAATAATTCACTCAACTCATCAACTACGGATGTACTAGGCCATTAAGGCGTAGTCCCCAAACGATATAGGGGAATCCAATCCATTGGATATGTCTGTCCTCAGTTACCATGTATATATAGTTCCTCATCCATCTAATACCCCAAAGATTGTATATCACGCATAGTATTGTCAGGCTCATACAGTTTTTACTCGTCTCACTCTAATTTGATTCTTCTGAATAACTATTTCTCTCTCAATCTAAATGACCTTGGCTAGATATTTTTCTGAGCAAGAACATATAGGATATTCCTCTCATGACACCGAGAGTGGATGATCCTCTATCAACACTCAATAGTCCTCGTAAGTTTAGCTATCACTCTCGATGACCGGTTGTGCTAGATCTGAAACTTTCAGGCCTATAAGTCTAATATTAAATAGTAAAGTACTCATACATGACATCGTTGATGTTTCAAGTCTAAGGACCAGATATACCACTAGGATGATAGAATCGTTGTTTGATAATAAGGTATCATTAACCATCTAATATTCTGTGAGCGGATCCCTAGTGTCCTCACACGAGTAGTTATGAGACCAATTGTCTCCATCATATGGACAGGTAACAACACACTAGTCTATTCGATTATCTCGATGTCCCTCTCGAGTAACCTATGACCATGGTTATTTAGGGTTTGTGTTTAAAGGTGAATCGGTCTCATTATCGTTATCTCATCATGATCCAATTTTCATTGCATAGATCCATGAATATATATAAAGTGATAAAATGTCAAATATAATAAGCAAAAAGAATATATATTATGTCACACGTGCTATCACTTACGTAATTAGTTTGCAGGACACGTATGACCAGCATGGTTGTCTTGTGAGATCTAAGTTATCCTCCATCCACCTACGTGTATAAAGATTCAAATGGGAGAACTACGTGTATAAAGATTCAAATGAGAGAAACAAGCTTATTTCTTATTCATTATGGTTAAGAAGGTAATCATAAACTTTTTTCTCTCCCTTTATGATAATGAAAGAAATCCTAAATCTTATTCTCTCCGTTTATGACAAAAAAAAAGCTATTACAAACTTCCTTTCTCTCTTTTAAATAATAAATATACATCCTAAATAGGAAAATAAAAAAAGAACTCTCTCTTTTCTTAAATCACTCAAGCTCATATTAAGAAATATCAAATCACTAACTTAAGCATCGGAGAGACAGGGTCGAGAACCCTCCCCTGACCTTAGTATTCATGTAAGCACAATACTTCCACCTCAAGAGCGTAATATTTCCACCTCAAGAGTACAATACTTCTACCTCAAACATCCATACATACATAGGTCTGAACCATGTCTGGTTGACTAAGATATCAACGATATTTTTCCCTAAAATAAATATTTTCACTTCAGGATGATACTATTCTTCAATTTGGTTTATTGATTTAGATAGAATTGAATCGATTTTAATTTAAAAAATATCAGTTCGATTGACTTCATTGCCTTAAGCCCTTAATTAATTAAAACTAGCATGAAAGGTACATCATAAATTTGATTCAGTTCGATTCTAACATTAACGATTCAATTCAGATCAGTTTAACGCCCCTACTTATAGGAAACGTTTCGGTGCTCAATTGAGTGAATCTCTAGTAAGTGTTGTACTGTCGAGAAATTAAACATATACTAAGGAGACATCTATAAATGTTATAGTTAATGGAAGTAAGATAATTAGTATTGAAAAGGTGAGAAACTAAAAACTATAATTTAAATGCTTTTAATTTTTATAAAAAAAATGTTAATTTGCTATTCCTATAGCAAAACCGAAGTGTAGAATTAGTTTGAGTTGGATTCAACCTAAATCGATATTTTTAAATAAACTAATTAAAAATTCATAAAGTAAATTATAACTTACGTTATTTGATGATCGATATAATAACTTGATGAACTTAAAATCCTGTGACTCGATGGGTTTAAATTCAAGTTAACAACAATAAACTATCATGCATTTGTAACTCAATTCATATTCAATTCTTTATTCTTAGTATTAGATCAGCTCTAATAGCATTTGTCACGTAACCTAATGGGATAATCGATCCACTAATTTGATAGATCTAAAATCACATGACTCAAAACACTTAAATTTAAGTTAATAATAATACATCCATTAAGTCTTATAAGCTAATTCAAATCTATATTCACTTTATTATGAGATTAAATTTAGTGTTACACAGACTACATCTAATATCTAATGTCCTTCGAAGATGCATAATTTTATGAGAATCAAAGATGCACCCAAATGCTTCCAAAACAACTCCACCTTTTCCTAATGAAAACAAAAAGGCTGGACAAATAATAGAGATCATCATGATGGCAACAGATCTCAGAGGACTGACCCTTGTCAAAGTGCCACCAGTAGTCCACTGTTTACTGTATGTATCTATGCATCTGTTTGTATTTTCTCTGATCTCATTCACTCATGAATTCCTCTTTCCTCCCAGTGGCCTTCCACTTAGAGTTGAATGGTATTTTTCCAAGTTTCTTTGACTGTCCATGTTGGATTCCAAAGATCAAAACCCTGCTAATATAGTTTGCTTTTGTGATACTTTCGATAGGTCTTCGTGGTTTGTTTTATTTCTAGATCCATTTAATACGTATTTAACACTTTTGAAGAATAATAATATAAATTTTAAGTGCCATCTTGAAGAATAATAATAATATAAATTTGAAGAATAATGATATAAATAATAATATAAATTTTGAAGAATAATAATAATATGTGTTTAACACTAACGTCCATTGTGGTAATATGATTGGTGTAAAATATTCATCATATTATAAATAATACAATGGCAGCATCTAAATCTCCTGCTAACTATTTTTAATGGATCTGGTACTGTAGCATATAATCATTAGTGATAGGGATAAATCCTAACGCTCCTAATCTTTTCTCGACACATAAGTAACACCTAAATAAAGGTTTAGAACCACCTACTTATTACGATCATCAATATGAGGTCACGTCGTCTGACTTTCCAAAATGAGCTTTCAAGAACCACTCCTTCGAGAAAATAAACCTAGCTCTACATTATAGTTGGTGGTATGGCCGGCTTCACCAGCCTTCCTTTCTGAACGAATGACGAAAAGCTGCTTGACTCAAAGAAGCAAGGAAGTCCGATCGAAGGTATCACCCTGATAGTCCCTTGGGAGCACACACCAACAAGCCACCTACATTAAATGTTTCTGTCACATTATGTAAGGAGAGGCTTTGACAAAAGTTAATTCATAGCTTAGATATAAAACTCATGCCTTAGAACAATTCTGACAAACAGACAAAAGAGATTTTTTTACTCTCTTAAATCACTATTATCTTTCTCTTTCTTTACTTTCATAGCTTAAACATTGTGGGATCGAGTCGAAACACCCCTGACACAGATATATTATGTAAAATTATCAACGAAACCTAGAGGCATAATCAGAAAACTACCCAAGATAGAAGATTATCCAAATCAAGCTTGATCGCTTCGTAATGCTTACTAACAAACCACCTTTTTTTTTACTTTCTTCGTTCTATCCGTAATGCTTACTATTTATGTCAGAAAAATCATAAAAAAGAAACTATATTTTTGACAGAGAATCAATCGACATTGCAGTTGGATATAGAAGTGGCCTTCAAAGTTGTACGCGTAGTATTACGTTTATATATATAAATATACATATACATATACATATACATATATATATATATATATATATACTTTTTTAGTCTTATATTTCAGTAAAATAAGAGATTGCCACGTGCGGGATTGGAAAGATCACAAAAATCTAGTGTAGATTCCCAGGTTTCTTGCGGTTCACCCTCACATCCCACCAAGTTCAGCATGCTGCCTCCTCTTACCTCTTCTTCTCCTTGTTCTTGACAGTAGGGAAGGGAAGGACCGGGAGATTCCAAGCAGGGAGGGACAGCATGTGGAGGGGTAGAGGAGGAGGAGGAGGGCGAAGTAAGTTTCGGTCCTCTTCTGCAGTTAATCACTCATGTTCTTTGAGTTTTAAGCCTGCAACATCTTTATGTATCATCATGTTCTTATTCCTTGACATATCTCCCAAGAATCTCAGTATGTATCCATGTCCTAAGTCACTTGTATTGAAACATTTGATGTATGTAGGTTTCTGGTGTTTCTGATTTCGGTATGAAGCTTTCATTAGCAACAAGATTATGAGTACATGATGTTTATCTTCTGCATATAGCTTTTAGTCTTCTGGATAGACATTATGACATTCTACCTCATCTGTGGTTGAACCTTAGTGGTATAGTGATTTCCTAGTAGTATGATTTCATTCCTTCTCCACATTTTGTGGAAATTTTGGATTCTTGGATGTGCCAACTGCAGCTGCACAATGCTAAGAGAAATCAGTGGTTGGTAATGCCAGATCTTGTTTATGAAAGAAGATGATGCCAAGAATTGAACCCTATATAATCCACCCGAGATCCCTCATCGACGGGAGCCTTGTAGACTGCTTATAGGATCATGACACGATGCGGATTACTAATATATTAGTCAATATCCTGTGTAACCCTGTAAATGTTAATACTGTTGTTTCCTTCCATTAGTTCACAGGTGGAATCTGGTTGAACTTTTGGCTAAATGACTGATTGAATATGGAAAATACAAGATTTCCTGTTTGATTGCTTCAGTATTAATATTGGTAATAGTAGATCTTAATGCCTTCGGTTGGTTACAATAATAGAGATCGGTCTGGCTTCCGAACATGGACTTGCAAGCTCTGCAGAAGAGCTTTCTCCTGGAGGGCAGGAAACATCAGAAAGGTTGGATATGCTTCTTCGACCGTTTGAAGGATCATCGTCTAGTGTCGCTGGAATTTCACCTGAGTTTCTGCGGGTTCCGTCGGCATCTTGTTCTGAGTCTTCACTGTTATCCTTCCTGAAAGTGTTGGCACTATAATCTTTCTTGTTGTAGTATCTTACCCAAGATATGAGCCTTTGTGAAATGGACTTATCACGATCGATGTCTCTCATTTCATGCCAATTCTTGCAGACAAAGGATGCTAGAAATATCACCAGGGCACAAGTCGAAACGGCTCCACTTAGAAGAAATAACCCCCAGAAGCTGTTAAAGCCGAGGCTACCAGAGCCAACAATGTCACCCTGTTTTAGACAAGAATCCCGACCCCCGAACCACTTCTTCTCGATCTGTTTCATGCTGTCACCCTCAGTTACATTTAGGATTCCTCTTGATATGTCAGGGACCACAGGAGAGCCTTTGGGGAATACCTGTGGAGGAATAGAAAGATCGATTAAATATGAAACTGTTTCTATCACAATTTAGGAACATCTTAAGAGTTAAAGACATACTCAGCAACACAGACATTGATTTTTTAAATGATGTAACAGTAATTTTCAAAGGTCTACCTTTGAACTTGTGTTATCTTGTAGTTTTTGAGTCTCAAGTATAAGATTCCTACATATGAAGTTTTTGGCTGAGAAAAATATCAAAAATGCAGATTTAGAAGGTAGGAAAGATGAAGCTGCCTAAACTCCTAGTGGAAATTTACCATTGATATTTGCTTATGTTCTTTGAAACTTAAGAACACATCCTTAAACTTGCCATGGCAGCAGTAACAACAACAGGCCATGTCATCCAAAACAATAACAAAACTTACATCATGAAAATTAAACTAAAGTTCCTTAAAATTATAAGCAGTATTTTGATTTCCTTGATCTGTTACATCTGAAGCATCCTTTTTTGTTGCAGCAAGCAGTAGCTTACGAATTTGGCCATATGCAAGTTTATTGTGCTAGATGTAGATGTTGATATACTATTTTCCTTTAATATAAGGACTTTAACCATTTCTGTTGATGCAATTAATTGCATGCAGATGGCTAGAAGAAGGTTGACGGAACTTACAAATCCAAATCCCGCGGTCTTGTAAATTGGTCCAACCATTGTATAACCTTTACAGTACTTTGAAAGGAATTGCTTGATATATGGGATTTCATGGACAATGGCCGCAACACCACCACTGTGGCTTCCTTTCTTCAGGGCCTCAACATACTCATCTGAGTAAGAATAGCCCCTCATTCTTTTCTCATCGAAGTTGAGTTGCATCAATAGGCCTTTCACAAAGGAATTGACGGGATATCCTACATACTCCCCATTATTTTGAAGCTCATGTAGGTCAGTGACAGTTGGCTGAAGCTGTTGCACTGTAAGCATTGAGGTTAAACTAGCGGTATGACTGGATGTAAGAATTAGCACCACAAACACCCATATAATCACCACAATTCTAGACAGAAGATTCTCCAACTTCTCCCCTGCAGACATTTTTTGAAAAACCCTTTAGCAAAATTAGCATGGCTAACACTTGGAATTCTGTATGTAGGATGTCAATGCTCGGTACGCATGAAAGTGATAGTAACTAATAGCAAGCCTTATAATGTAGAAGACATTACTGGTTCTTGAGTCCTTAACTGGACTTTCTTCCTTGTAGGTGGCATATTTGAGGTAGATCATGTTTTTCTGACTGTTTTAAGGGAGAGCTTCCATCATTTCATTTCATTTTAAATTACTCTACAATTAAACATGTCATAAGTAGAGCAAATACTAGTGGATTAAAAATGGTATATTCATAAGTAAACTTTGGCGATCTTAGTTACAATGTTACAGAAAAAGATAATCTAGATGTTTTTCAGAATTCTAAAAGCATATGTGCCAATATTTTGAATGGTTATCCAAAAGTTTACTGCATGCTCATTGTTCTTTCAGGTCAAAATATAAAGATAACTATTAACTTTCTCGTACTTTGTTTTGTTACAAGTGTTTATTTAAATTTTCATGCTATCTTCTTTTTTCCTTGTTTCTATATAAGGCAATGAGTAGGTCAGGATGCAAGTCATTTCGTCTTCTGGATTATTCGGTCTATAAACATATCACTATGAGTTAACTGATTAACATATGATGCATGCTAGAAACCCATACAGGCATTTTTCTACTTAAAATGAGGAGAAAGTGTTTGAGGAATCAGTTACGAAACTGTGGGCAAAAACTAGCGTCGAGAAAGAGAAGTAGAAGATTGTCCCAAGCTGCTGGCTAACTGGACCCCTAAACTCCATGTTGATGCGATGTTCGAGCACCCACACAACAAATCCAGTGTAGAAGAAAGCAGCCAAGCTCCCCAACCACAAATCAAAGGTCAGTGGCTTCAAAAATATCCATGCATTCTTGTTGATGCTGTCCTTGACTGGTACCAGCATTGCAATGCCTGATTCAGTGTAAGGTAATGTAAAGTCCACATAGCGAGATCGGTTTTCTCTAATTGTTACATCCCCTACCACAGAGTCATATTTCTGCTGACAGAGATCAATTAGTATAAATCGTATGCTTGGAGATGATGAAATAATGCTGGAAATGGTAAACTAAAAACCATTTAAGCGACAAAAATACTCAAAAAGACATCATGATAGTATAAATACATCAAATTAAGCTTCAAACATTCTTAAGAAAGCCGTTTCATTATACAAGATCTCAGATTTGAAGTTAACCTGCAAACACTTCTAGACATGATGATGCAACAGGTTTAGCTTTTTCAAATGTAACTCAAGTTTGATACATTAAATATTTCCAGAAGAAGTTTGATCATGATCAATAATATCTAGGTAGTTTTTATGATTTAGATAGGAATTGGTCTTTGACTCGTATAGTCATCTAAGGTTATACTAGATAAACAGAAAAGATCACTTCATTATCTATCTTGTAGTTCAGTATCACAACTAGTACTTGCCTGGAAATAGACCTGATCCACAAGGTCATCGTATGTCCCTGCACACAGTCCTTTTTCATTCTCGAAAGGGATGTACTCATGTGGAAGAGCATAAGGCAATGTCTGCAATGCAGCTTCGAAGACATCAATGCAGAACCCACTTACCGTGATCGCATTGGTGATGGGATTCCTTTCCACCTTCACAAATTCATCAGTTTCATCCAACAAAGGAACACCAATCCTTAACTTCTTCCCACTTAATGGCATCTCCCAACCCTTTGGAACAACAGTTGATTCTCCTGGCCAGATCACTGGATTCATATCAGTCATCAAGGCTGAATACTCTTTAGTTCTGTTCTTTTTAAGTTGTTTTATAATTCCATGCTGGGGTGTCCAGAACCCAATTTCTCTCCCTCCTTTACCAACCACATTGATAATCTGAAATGTGGAGGACTGCAACTGCCCATCTGCAAAAAGAAATTCCCCACTTATACCTCTGAATCTGCTTTCAGATATCAATTTTAGCAGTAGAGGACCAGCAATAGACACCCCCAACCTGTCTGATCCTGTTGAGTTACCGGTATTTGCTAGCTTCAGAAAGCTAGAATTTATGCCCTTAACATTTTCTGCTGCCATCGCCACAGTCCATACTGTATCATAAGCCCACAAGGCAAAGATCCCAGGTTCAGCAGGCTGATCATCAGGGTTCTCCTGCTGAAACCTCCTCCTCCATCTCCTGGCAAAATGATCGAGCTTTCTAGACTTGGGAACATATAGTCTTACACCAATTGTACCTTGCATTGATGCAATGATAGATGGGTCAAGTGACTCAACAAGACTTGTTAGTCCATCGGTCATGATCCATGCATATCCTTGGCTCATCAAACCGGCCTCATTGACCTTCCTGAAGAGGCGAGAACCCATGGGAACTGACATGTGCACGATGAAGACCCTGGTTTGCATGGTCATCAGTTTGTAGAGTTCTTCAATTATTTGGTCATCAGTTGCCACTAAGGAAATCACACTGCGGTAGGGGACACGGCAGTCAACCTGTTCAAGGGAATCGATGAGGTATGGTACGATGCCCCTACCATAATCGGAGTCCTCATAGACAGGAACAACCTCCCTCCATCCATAAGCCCTGATAATGGAGGATATACTATCCACCTGAACAGCATCATCAAATGCTGCCCGTACAAAATACGGTGTTAGGGCGGATGAGAGGGAAGGACTTGTTGCCGTGAAGGAGATAATAGGCACATGAGATTTGTTGCCGACATAAGAGACCAGTGCTGCTTGTGAGGATTTTTGAGGGCCTATAATGACCTGCACCTCTATCTTCTCTATAAGATCCAAAGCTGTGTGCAAGCAAAGAAAATGTAGTTGTCAGTATAAAACACTGTAACACCAAATTTGTCGATCAACATTTAGATATCAGACAAGCATACAGTACTAATTTAATGTTAAAGGAAGATGCCAATATGTATTGATGCTTGTGTTGAGGGGGCAGCAAATATTTGGAATGAAATCAGCATAGCAACTGATCTATTACCTACAAATTTTACTCAAATCTCCAACTGACATGGTGGCCGCTTATAGATCAGTTTTAGATTCATTCTCAACTTGTAAGGATTTCAGAAGGGGTTGACAAACTAAACATTGGATGTCGTAACCTGCTTTCTTTATCTTTTCCCATTCAACATAGAATTCTTTGATTGGCATTTTCTGTATCAGATAGAGACACAGATCCATTGATAATGTTTCCTGAGAAAAAAAAATCAGAGATCAAATTGTCTGGAGGTGGACTTCTGATGATTCTTTTTAAGCTAAAACATCTATATGCCTTTCTGCACAGAAACTGACATATTATATCTGCTAGCATCTGGAAAGGTAAAAATACAACTAAGGTTTAAAATACCAGTATGGACACCGGTAGCCTGTCAAGGCTGCTATTTACTAGTTGTTACTGTACTGGTATGGTCTGATACAACAATATAAGATGGGAAGAATTATTACCATGGTACTGGTGTACCAATACCAGATTGGACTGGTACATACATACTAAGTGATGTGCTCACTATACCAAAAAACTCCAAACCATATCAAAGATTCCTGTGAAGTTCAAATTCTTTGCTTGGTTGCTATAAAGAATGTTTACATGCAAAATTTATCAAGGTAGAAGGGCTATTAATGTTTAAAGATTGTCAGTTGTCAACATCATTGAAGAGTAAATATGATTTATTCATGTGGTGTACTTTTGCCAAACTTGGGTAGAAAGTATAAAGTTGCAATTGTGATTTTAATGATCATCCTCGTAATTTTTATGTGTTGTTTAGGAAATCAAGCTTAGTTGCTATCTAAAGAGAATTAGATTATTAGATCATGAAAGATTTGGCCTTCCTGTGGTACTGGTTTATCTGGCTGAAAAGGAGTGAAAGGACCTGTTTAGGAGTCTCAGAGGGTGAAGAGTTATCTTCTTATCTGAAATTATTCTTTAGTAGGTTTCCTTGTGGAAGGCACTTTCTCAGTTTTTTCTTCCTCAAGATAAAACAAAGAATGAAGCCAAAAGTTATGGTTAGGAAACCCTTTGGAACTATATTTTTCTTTAGTAAATTTCCACCTCATCTTTTTCTAGATAAGAAGGCAAGATTGGTAGAAAATGGGCTTTCTTCTTTTGTTAATTGTTCTTGAATTTTTCTTTCTGTTCTTATTGTCCTGAACTAGAAAAAAAAATGGCGAATATAAGAAACAGACATGCTGACAGCTAACACCTTATTAGACAGAACAAATTCATGTCAGACTTAAAGTCTGGTGTGGAGCTTTTATCTCCATATGGCTTCAGATATTTGTAGTTCGTAATGACAAAAAGCAGATTGAATGCCATTTTCTTATTTCTTTTCATTTTTTGTTGTTTTTTTTTTTGTTCAGAAAGGTGGTCAAAAAGTAAAGATGTTCTTCTACTTCTGTAGTATGTTTGCTTATCAATACATTTCAACGCTCCTTCAACACTGCTACTTAAGCCTCAAATAGTCTATCACATGAAGTCCACAAGCTTCTGCTAACCATCGAGATTGATGGATGCATGAATGTATCCATTTCCTTCACACTTAGACTTGGATTTTGTATGTTTCTAAGTTTGTGTTATCTCTCTGTTTCAGAAATAATTGCAAAGGCACAAAAATTCTGATACTAATCAGACAACAAAAGATAACTGGATAGCTACCTGCAGAAGCCGCCTGCACCACATCGTTACCCGAATCTTTGGTGTGGAGAACCAGTCTCGTGGTGTAGTTGCTGTTGATGGAGTAGAAGTCATCGATCGCCATCGATATGCTAGTTTGCCCCATTTTTCCGACCAAGGTGGTCAGGTCAAGGATTACTCCAACATGAAAGGGATTTTCCATAATGTTGCTGCCATTTCTCTGTGCTGCTGCAAAGAGAATGAACATGAACAGGAAGACAATGACACCAGTAGGTTTCTCCATTTTGAGCTACAGACTGTTTGCTCAATGATTGTGCCGATTTGCCTTTTATAAGATCTCTTAGGAAGCTAAAAGAAGTCAGATTATTGCAAGATAGTTTACTTTGACAAAGTCAGTATGCCATTTATTATGATATGAGAGTACAACAGTTCAGCATGAAGTCTTCTTCTGCATGCGATCTCTGCCGTGAGCAGCCTTTGCCAAGTCTTCCTCAAGACTTCTAACTCATCTCATTCCACAACACAAAGTAGCTTCTCATGTTGTACTTCTCTTCAAGGTCAAGATTCTTGTTTTGCACACAACTTCCATGGCTTCTCTCTAATGCACATAAAAGCTGCTGGTAACTCATCTGAAGCTGGTAGTTCATTCACAAAGCCATGAAGTAGTTGTGATTCTTTAAGATGCTCAATGGTGGATACCTTGATTAAGTCAACCAGAATCTTTTTTCTAAGAGAATTATGCTATGCTATGCTATACATATGAACTAAATAATACACTCATGCCTCACTACTACAGGTACAGGGAAGTGGGTGGAAAAATCTAAGTTCTAAACAAATAGGAGAGTTGAAAGATTCAAACAGATTGAAGGCATGGGAAGTTTCTCATAAGCATACTTCCAATCGAAAGGAAACAGAGCTTAGGGTACTGTTCATAAAAGAATAATTCCATATGCACATGTAGAGCACAGCATTGCAATCTTGGAGGGCAAGAGATGGATTATAAGAGAAAACACAGAAGCTATAGCATCTTCCCTCAATGGCATTGACTTGCCATGGATTTCTGAGAAGCTGAAACAAGTCTAATCATAATAAGATGGCTTACTTTGTCAAACTCCGATGTAATCCAAGCACTATGATGAGCTCAGAGTATAATAGTTGCCTCGATGACTTTGATTAGTATGAAAGGAATTGATTTGGAAAATGATGTGCATCATCAACAAAATGCTACTAGGTGGACACCTCATCTCCATCAACTCTTCGAGTTCAAGCTCCTGTTGTAGTTTGGTTCATCTTCTTGATTGAGCTATTATTTTGATTATGGCAAATACCAGATGACATTCATGACAAATCTTACTTGATAGAACACAACTCAGTAGCAATTTGAATCTTGTTGTATTGTCTTCTCAAATCTGTGGAGAACTAAACCATTAATCTGACAAGTCTGTTAAAAAGATCTAAGATGCCAAAGCCATATATATATATATATATATATATATATATATATATATATATATATATATATATATATTCTTTGTTGCTCAATCATAGCTGCTTGCCTGCATGTGAAAGAAAAAAGCTATGCTGACTCAGAACAAAGAACTTAGCATGTATAATCCCGACAGGAGGAAGAGAGGTGAAATATATACAATCATGAAAATAGAACATTCCCTTGAGGGAAAATTAACTTGCCCATCCACCAGTTTTCAATAATCAGATGGTACAACACTTCAGTAGCAGCACTAATGTACATCCCCATGGGAATGAACTATGGCTTCTTTGTATCAGGAGGGACTTTTACCCCCATGAGTCCAAGCAGATTCGAAGTCGGACCTGGAAGGCCTTGTTGAGAAGAAAATGAATCAAGAAGACTTTTAACGAGGTTGACATCCACATCAACAGGGGTTAACTCCTCGTTCATATCATTTGCAGCATTGGAGGATGTAGCATTTGATGGTTCCTGGATAATGCCATATTGCAAATTAGTATAACAAAAATCAATTGAGAAAAACTCCAGGGAAACTTAACCTTCTAGTAAAAAGCCCATAGATAAGCATTTGCTTAGTGCTAAAAAACTTGACCTAACTCAAAATATCAGAGTTAGCTTCCCCAGTAGTGCTCAAACGTGTAGTTATTTCGACCGGTTCTCCCATATTATCAGCTACAGCTCATTTTTGCAAGAAATCATTGTTTTCCTCTCCAGAATTAGCTTTTGCATACTAATGTGTAAAGGTTTTTTAATCAATCCTCTGGTTGGTTGATATTTGAAAGAGGAGTCACTTACTAATATTTATATTTTTAAAAGACAGATGTTTAGGTAGAATGGCGTAAGTTTCAAAATTTCTAACCAAGGTTCTCGTTCTAACGTTTGATCATTACTTTAAATATACAAAAACAAAGTTCAATTGTTTATTTGAGGCTCCTAGATAATCCTATTGAAAAGCTTCCCCGTATATCTTCTCTCTCTCTTTTCTTGTATCTCATTCTATTTTGTATCTTCTTCTCTTTCATCTTACTTCATCATAATGGAATGCTTAGGAATTAGGAGCATTCTCCCATTATTCAAAACAATTTCATACATTGTTGTTTCAGATAATGAGGAAATATCATTGGAAGTTCCAACAACTGAGGATAACTATCAACACTGAATAAATGGACCTAGAGAATTTCAATAGAGTAAATAAAAATGGAGTAGATTATCATCGAAGAAAATTCACTTTTGCTCCTCAATAATCTGTAAAGAAATATTAAGGTTTGATGATTATTTCACACTCAAGTTCCAATAGATCTTTTGTCATTAATTTCAACATAATTTTAAATTTGAATATGTAAGTATCATTTGATTTTACTAATTGAGGATTGCCAGATGTTCAACCATATTAAAATCAATAAAATTTACTAATCCATCTCCAAGCAATGACAAGACCAAATACATTAATTAGGGCATTGCACAGGTTTCATGCTAGCAATATGTATGCCAAAGCTACAACATAAATACAAAAAGATGGCAACAACACTAAAAAAATACTGACAACGGAATACAGTAGATTCCAATTTTCAAATAATTCGTGCTAGCAATATGTATTTCAATTTTCAAATAATATCAATTAACGGAAGAAAGATAAAAAAAGTATGCAATGAATACATGTCATTTAATTGAAAAATCAGCAGAAAAAGAAAAAGAACTGAAAAAAAATTAAGAAACAGAATCAAATATTACCTCAGTGACATTGTTGGACTGCTGGTGTGCACGAATGAAGCTTTTCTTCAGAATAGTTGCATTAAGTTCTTCGTTTAAAGTATCAGAATACAACTGCATGAAACCATCCTCTGAGTTGTCGTCTTCCAGTTCTTCTGCAAGATCACCTTCATATTCAGAATCATCTGCAACAAACAAAGCTTAAATAAGAGTACTGCTCTTTTCAAAATAGCCACTGAAAATGAGTTGTGAGAATACATTTCAAACTAAGAAAAGTGAACATGATAAGCAATTAATGTCTCAGAATAGGTAGTCTTAAACAATCACCTCGCCCATTCCCAAAATCACTGTCAGGGCTTCCACTAAAATGATACTGCCTTGTTTTTCTTATGTTTTCTTCTTTTTATTTCTTTTGTTTTCTTTAACTTGACTACACAGCAACAAAAAATGAATAGAGATTGACACCTCCATATATTAACAGTGCTAATCTTGAAAACCATGCTCTTTGATTCTACGCTAGAGCTTTTCCCAGAGAAGAATCAAAGGAGATGACAACCAAGGCATGAATTTTGATATATTACAAATAATAGGTAAAAATACCAAATTCCATATCCGATGATGAGGTATGTCCTTCAAGTTCCTCATCCGATCCAACTCCTTCACATGAGACCTCCCCTAACACTGATTCCATAGCTTTCATGAATTGATCAGCATCAAGTTCCACTGACTTTGAATTCCTGTTTTAGTCAACAAGTTAGATCAGATGGCAAGTCATTAACTAAAGACTCATCAGTAAGTGTTGGAAAACTGAAGTACCCAACAATATGTTCATAAATACCCAATTCCACAAAATAAAAAGAAATAGACTTCAGATATCATTGCACATGGAATTTACCCTAAGGACAAGATTTGTGGGCATGTGTTTGTCCAATTTAGATTTTCATGAACTTCAAAAAAGTCAAACACTGAGACCCTACATTACAAAATCAAGAACAGATAAAAAGGTTCACCCAGTGCAAAGACTCATGCCAACAATGCAGGGTAGACCAAGTTAAAACACACACCATTAACCCTACAAGTATTGAAGTAGTTGTGTCAGTGACTAAAACCCCCAGTCATCCACATTCCAAAAAAGCAACCTTACCATGACAAAAAGGCTCCTCCTCATAAGAGTGGACAAAAATTGTACATCAAATACAAGAAATATCTATTATTAAATAGCCTTTAAGTTAATTTTGGTCATTTCTTGCTTCCTCTCTTTGATTTTTCTGCCAGGTTTTACAACCATAAGCAACTGCCCAGACCAATGACTAATAACCTCATCCTTTCTTCTTCTCCTACCTATGAATGTGCCTAATCCCTTTCATCTTTTTATCACCATGGTACACTTCCAACAGAATCAGTAGCACATCATTGCAAAAACCATCATCCCTTCTCCCTTCTGCTAATGTACCAAAACAAATTGTGCCCTCCAATGAAAGCATGATGATCTGGTTAAGATGGCCAAAGATTACTCTTCACCCAACAGCATCATTTAGCTTCTACTCAGTACAAAGACAACATATAATTTTTTTTCACTATATAGTTTAACTAAGATTCATTAAAGGAGAGCAAAGAATCAAACTTGACAAGCATATTTTGCAGAACAAGTGATAAAGTTCACGTAATAAAACTGGCTATCACAGACAAGAACCTGTTCTCAGGAACCTCTGCCCCTTCAAAACTCGAGAGCTTTTGGACAAATGCTTGCATAGTTTCTGTTATATCTTTAAGATTGAAATCATCAGGTAGTGAGCTAGAAGCCTTTCCAGTGCTCTTCTGCTGCTTCCTCTGCTTCCTTTCAGCTTCGTAGTCTTCCATTTCTTTCTGTCTCTCCATAATAGCAGTGTTCAACTCCTCTTCCCCATCATACATCCAGGAATCATCATCATTAGGAGGAAGCTCAATGCCCTTGAAGCCATCGACAGAATAGGACATGGAGAGTATTTCATCTATCCGTTGAACAGGAGCATTCAGAACCTCCCTACAAAATGTAAAGTTCCATTACAAAACTCAAACAAAACTAATGATTTTTGCAATACTATACA